GTTCACCCCTCCTGGATGCCTTTCCTTAAGCACAGTTACAGAACCATTGCTGGGTATGTATCATTCTCCATATCCATATAGCCACACGAGGTACATTTTTCTTCATCAGTATCATTTAAAAAGATTCTGTTAATTCAAAAGACCTTTGTACTGCAAAAATTCAAAACTGTCTTACATTTAGCATATGTTCTTTATGTTATATACCCCCAAAAACAAACATGTTTGTAATGGTGGTGTTCTTCCTTAGGGCCTCCTTTCACACACCTGCGTGACCCAGAGCACATGGTGTACTACGGTCAGGCAGATTGTCAGGCTGACATCGATCGGTATCTGGAGTCTCTCAAATCCCTCTGGCGCCATGTCAATGGAGAAAGTCCTGTCATCATCAATACTATGGGCTGGATCAGAGGTCAGCAATAAAAATATTGCACATAAAATAGGAATATTGATTTAAATGGTATATCGACTTATTAATGAATATGAATATAAATGAATATTTATGCAAATATTAGGACTATCAATCAGTTTAATAACATGATTTACTGATTAAAAGGCGAGACACTGCAGGTGAATAGGGTAAAAAAAATTAACTACTAATTATCACCTTACTTACCCAGTTGATTGATTACATTGATTGCAAACATTTTTTGTATTACAAGTTTTCTAAAATGTTATGTTTAAATATGCAAATGATGCATTATTTAATGAAATATGCGCTAATTTGGCAAATGTTTTTACTGAGGGAATTTTGGGTATCTCTTTTTGTCACTCCATAATTCAGAAAATACTTTGAACAGCCAGAAAACAATATATTTTCACAATTTTTGGGGAAATAAAATGTTGTATATAATCAAGCAAATTATATATGAACAAATCCCTCTGTAACAACCTTCAGAATATAGACCGGAATAAAAATGTGTTTGGTGTGTGTAAATGCTACTGAAGTGGAGATTTATGGCTCAGTGTAGGATAAAAAAACTTTTTTTTTTTTTTCCAACGGCCTTTAAAAATATGTATTGTAGTTGAAATATATTGACACAAATAGATAAAGTGCTATAAAATAAACATTTAACAGTGTCTTTTGGATGTTTTCTTTCCACTAGTCTGAAAAAACACTTTATGAAAAGCCAAAAAGCCCAAAATCTCAAAATTGAGAGGTGCATGAAAAAAACAGTGCTTTTGCCTGCAGTGTCTCCCCTTAAGATGGGTCAGAGGCATAATTAAATTAAGTATTTTTTTTCCTAAAATTTGTAGCTCTATTAAGTATATTTAATATTTAGCATTTTCTTTTAACAGATAATAATTGTTTTCATTTGAGTTTCTGGTACTGATGTACTAACACGTCTTTCTCTCTTTCACAGGCCATGGCTTTCAGATACTGGTCGATCTCATTCGCCTGTTTTCCGTTACGCATGTAGTGCAACTGAGTTATGGAAACGCACCACAGTGTCAACTTCTTACCCCAGACTTCCTCAGAACTGCCCACGGCTGGCAGACACACCCTCCGACGCCACCCACCCTGACAGAGGAGCCAGTCAGTCACCTCTCCATTCGATCTCATGTGTTTCTCAGTGTCCAATCAGAATTTGAAGGTGCTGGGACATCTGGAGAAATGTAAGCCGGCCAGCTGTACCCTTTGGATTTTAACTGTACCTATTATCAGTTGCCAATTGTTTTGGTGAACATGTATCTGGTTTGTAAAGTGTTAATATCCAAATATGTATGATCTGAACTAAAGTCAATTCCCATCCTGCATTCCTCATAGGCAACATCAGCGCAGTAATGAGCTGCGAGACCTGGCTCTGCTCAGCTACTTCAGTAAGCTGCAGTCCCCAGAACCTGGCCCAATCCGCCCGCTCCACTGCTTCATACCTTACCAGGTTTTTAAAAAAACATTTTTTTTGTTTAAAACATTTTGTTTTATTTTATTTCATTTTCATTTAATTTGTTTTTTATTTTTAGTGTATGACTGTTATTTTATTTTTTCATAGTTATTTTCTTATTTTGAATTGTTTTATTTTATATTTAATTTTTATTTTATTTTAGTATTTTACTTTTTATACTGATTATGTATGACTGTTATATTCTTTTTTTCATCATTTTTTATTTTGTATTTTAATTTTGTTTCTTTTTATTTTGAATTTTTTTATCTTATCTTATTTCATTTCATTTTATATTGTTTTTTTTGGGGGGTTTTTCTTTAGTTTTATGTTGTTTTTTATTTCATATTTTATTTTAGATTTTAATATATTTTATTTTTATAATGCATGACTCTTTCAAATCAATGTCTTTTTGTGCTCTATTATTGCAGGTCCCACACTCAGCAGTGGCTATAGGGGTAACACACTGTGAGGTCGCACCCAACAACATCCTCTACGTGGCCAATGCCAGTATAGTGGCATTATGCTGTCTGAGTGAAAAGGTTGTGGGCAGAGAAGGTTCTGTTGTACTCTCCCAAACTCCTATCTGTCAATGTGTGGGCTTAGGTGTGTATTCAGGGCCTTTAATATGTGAATCTGAGATTGAATTGATTTGTCAAACTGCATAGCATATGTAGTGACATTACAAATAGTCATTATACATCATTACAAGACTATATAATCTTCCTTAAAATATCATTTAACTGCTGTTGTGTTTAAGGTGTTCTGAGAGGGGTAGACATGGCACGTGGTTTGTACTTTCTGGTTACTCCAGTGTCCCCCTCTGTCCTGAGGCATGTGAACTGTCTCCTGCTGGGAGAGATCACTCTGCCCAAAATATTGCTCACCAAGCAGGTACGTGAATCAGCACTATACACTACCTTTCAAAAGTGTGGGGTTAGTAATTTTTCATTTTTTTATGTTTTTTGAAATAGGTTTTTATGCTCACCAAGGCTGCATTAATTTGATCAAAAATAGTAATTAGTAAATAGTAGTATTACAAGTGTCACATCACCTTCCAGAAATTATTCTAATATGCTGATTTAGTGCTCAAACATCACAGTTAAAAGCTGTACTGCTTAATATTTTATGGATATAATATTTTATATTATTAAAATTTTGTTTAGTGTTTTTAATTAAATAATTTCAAAAGGTCAACATTTATTTGAAGAGAATATTTTTGTAACAATGTGAAAGTCTTTATTCATTTCTTTTTTGTAATACAAAACAATGGGGTGTATTTTACAATTTACTCACTGAATATAAGGGTCCAAATGATATATAATCATTTGTGTGATGGCTAAATGGTTAAGTGTGGAAAGGTTATCAAACCTGATGGGTCTTTGTTGTTGTCAATTAACCTCTTTTTTCTCTCTTTTTTCCAGCATGGAGTTGAAGGAGATTTACCTTACGTCACCACAGACTACAGTTTTGAAGTCCAAGGGGCAGGAAAGCTTCACATCTACAAAGGACTGGCAAGGCCTGGTTTTATAAAGTCAAATAACTAAGCTCTTCTGTATAAACACTGCTTTCTGTGAATGACATTTCTATCCTTGTATTTGTTTTATACCCTAAATATTGAGGTAAAATTTGCCATTGAATGTACAAATCTACACAAGTATTTTGGCTTTTGGAACTGTATACTAGGGAGATGGAGTGTATGAGTGCATATGCTGTTTCTTTATCTCTTGTTGAATGGCTCCATATTTATTGATTAGACCGTTAGCATCTCGCTCAAAAATTACCAAAGAGTTTCTATATTTTTCATTTTTGAGCGAGATGCTAACGGTCTAATCAGATTCAATGATCTATGCTAAGCTAAAAGTGCTACCGCCAGACCCGGAGATCGGCTGAATGGATTTGAAAACGTTAAAACTCAACTGTTTAACTCTAGGGAAGTTGGAAAATTAGCCTGTTTTCAAAAATAGTGGATTGTTCCTTTAAGATCCATATTGGAAACTCTGCCTCATGTTTTGATTTTCTGTACTGTTACAGTTCAACATGTCATTAAGAAAATGTCATAAAGATTCTTTGTTTTCTTTTACCAAGTCACATTCCCAAACCAGGATAATGCAGGCTGTAAAATATTAAAGTGGGTTTCATTTTTGTCAAGAAATTAGTCTCTTTCATTGATCATCTGTTTCTTTTTTTTTAATTAAATATTGAGATGTGAATAGATCAGTACACAATTTTATACTGTATAATACAATATGGTACTGTAATGATAAAACATTTTAGCATTTAATTTATATTAGGTTATTTTAATGTAACTTATTACATCTTATAACATATTACTTATATTTTAAATGCCATCTTGTTGCCTTTTGGAATGTTTGCTGAGATCCCTTATTTCAGAACCAAGCAAAAGATGCCTCAGTTGGGTGTCTTTATGGCGTTATTCACGTATGCACAGGATCTGTGCATTAGATTTGAGCTTTTGAGTAAACTACACAAACAACATTGGGCTTTGACTTCTCAGTCTCTGCCCACTATAGCTGATTTAAATCGCGTTTTTAAATTCTATGAAGAGCCAAAATGACATATTACAACATTCGCTGCATTTACCAGCAGATGGCGCTACAGTTTTCACGTTCAATGTACTTATTGGCATGATCATTTTATATACAATATTGTCAAAGCATTGTGCACACACAAGATGATAGAATACAGAAACAAAAAAATACACCTTTTTTCTTTAATTCTAATGTTTCTATGTTACTACATTGGTTTATTCTTTGATTTTTGAATCATCTGATAGTAAATCATGCAATTAAGCAAACAATATTACAAGAAAAGGGGATGCGAGAATAATAACGAAGAAAAGGTTGCTGTTTCCTATTATTGTAATATTACAATGTTTAATAATATTATTCCTATAACCTTTTTACGTTAACAGTTACACAAAGCACTACAGTATTGTTTAAAGTTACGTATAAAATAGAAAATAATTTTTATGTATATGGAACTTTCTCACTATTTCTTTTTCATAGACACTGAATTCATAATTTAACTTCCACACAGTTAAAATCTATGTTTAGTTATCTACGTATGAAATTTTGCATTTGCGTGACGTCATCGCCAGCAAGACGTAAACAAGGAAGAGAATCGAATCGAAGCGCCGAGAGAACAGAGATTCGTTTTGAGTTTATTAAAAGTAAATTCAGCTCAGTTGAAGTTTAGTTTTTTACGCGTTTATTGTATCCCGTCATGTTGAAAACGTATCATAGTCATAAACACTTTTAGCGAATGAATGGCGAATTATTGCTAGAATGGAACCCAAACACAGACAGATACTTCAGCGGCACAGGCGTGATCTAGTCACGGCATTAAATCCTGCAGACATCTGCGATGGGCTTTTGTCAAAGGGGGTCTTCACCCAGGACATGATTGATGAAATACAGGTAATATTGATGTCTTTGTTTACATATGGGAAACTGGAAACGCTACGGGATTGTGAAAGTTTACATGCGGTCATTGTGAAAGTTCACAGAGGAACAGTCCAGTTTATTATTCAATTACTCACCCTCATTAAACCAGTATAACTTTCTTTCATTCTGTGGAACACAAATGAAGAATGACAGTCACGGTTGCCATTCACTTTAATTGTATGGAAACATGATGCGCTGAAAGTGAATGGAAACTCGGACTGTCAGTTTCTAACAATCTGCTTAACATCTCAAACTATCATGCTTCATACTGGATGTTCACAGTTCACTTGTTAATACTGTGCATAGTTTAGTTTACAATTATGAAGGTAAGATGATATGACCATTCATGTGTGAGTGGTTCCCTTATTGCAAACCTGCAAATGTGAAACACCGTTGTTCTCCTAACAGAGCAAGATAACAAGACGTGACCAAGCCAGGCAACTGGTGATAAGCTTAGAGATGAGAGGGAGTCAGGTTTTCCCAGCCTTCCTGGAGTGTCTGCGTGAAACCAGCCAACATGACCTCGCAGAGCTCCTTCAGTGTGGAGATGGTGTGTGTCTGCCCACTTCTGTCCCCGTACAGCCTTCACTGATCCCTCTGCCAGTCCGTAAGTGTGTTACTTCCATTAAAAACACAATATTTACTTGGATATATTTACTTGGGATGTTCCCATAATACAGTGGAACATAAAACACCTTCACCTACCCATGATCCTCTTAACTGACATTTTGCTATGATTTTTTCCCTAAAGTATATTACATGATACATAGAGATATTTTATCTGATTTTATGATTCAATGCAGAGAATCCAAAATATACTGAAAAACCAGACAGATTTGATTTTACTCCACCACGGTTAGTACCACTGAGACCAGAAAGCCTGCCTGTGCCCAAGCCTCTTAGCCCATGTGAGTCACTGTCATGTTTTAATTATCTATAAAGTATGTTTTCATCTGTTAAATGCTACCCATTAATAAGTAAAGGGTAATTTGGTAAGAAAGCATGAATAACCTTTGGATTTATGCATTTACACAGCTTCTGAAACTCAAGGGGTGAGACCAACCAGGACAAGACGTGACAGTATACAGGTAACTGTTATCACTCTCACCAAACAATCTTGAATGTTTTAAAAGACCGTCATTCTTATTCACTGATAATTGAGTACAAGTGTATTTTGATATGTATTTATATAAAAAATGAAAATAAAAGAATGCAAATATGTGCATATATAAGCATATTTTAATATATAACACTACTGTTCAAAGGTTTTGGGGTCAGTAAGATTTGAGATGGCTGCTAAAAAATCAGCTTTGCCATCACAGGAAGTAATTACATTTCAAAATATAGTAGATAACAGTTCTGTCATGGCAACTCAGAAAGATAAAGTGAAGTGAAGTGACATGTGGCCAAGTATGGTGACCCATACTCAGAATTAGTGCTCTGCATTTAACCCATCCAAAGTGCACACACACAGCAGTGAACACACACACACCGTGAACACACACCCGGAGCAGTGGGCAGCCATTTATGCTGCGGCACCCGGGGAGCAGTTGGGGGTTCGGTGCTCAAGGGCACCTCAGTCGTGGTATTGAAGGTGGGAGAGAGCGCTGTACATTCACTCCCCCCACCTACAATCCCTGCCGGTACGAGACTCGAACCCACAACCTTTGGGTTATGAGTCCGACTCTCTAACCATTAGGCCACGACTTCCCTAAGATTAGCATGGTAATATTTATGGCAATGTTAATGTATTTGGTCTTGGCGTAATAGATCTGCTACACTGTTGCTGCGGCTGCGGCAGAGCGAGTACCGAGACTTGCTACTGCCAATACATCCACAGACATGCTGCTGTGAGCATGTAAGACTTAATGTTGCTGCGCATATAACAGACATGAAATTACCTTGTAGCACATCTACAGGGGGAGCTGGGGAAGGTGGAGGGTTTCAGAAATTTGCAGCAAATTGCTACAGCAAACACTGGCCAAGTATTTGAATGTTGAGCAGCAAGCTCATTGTCTGCGTATGCAACAAAAACCAATCAGCTGCGCAGTGTGAATAATGATGTCATTATATTGAATTAGGACCTATCAGCTTGTGCCATCTAAAGTTTCATGACAGAACTTTGTATTTATTTTAAATTGTAATAAATTGCTGTATTTATTTGATCAAATACATGCCATCTTGGTGAGCATAAGAGACTTCTTTTAAAACAAACAAAAAAATCTTAATTGCGCCATTGTACCTAACCACTCACTTACTATTTTTTGTGCAGTGCTATAAGATGGATGCCAGTCCATGTGGGATCTGCCTGATTATAAACAATGTAGATTTTGACCCAGCCTCTGATCTAAAAGATCGAAAGGGGTCCAACATTGACTGCGACAAGCTGGAGAAAAGATTTAAGGCTCTCAACTTTGAGGTTATTGTAAAAAGGAACTTGAAATACAAAGTAAGCACAGTACTTCCTCTTCTCACTGTAAACAAAGCTGTAAGATAAAAGTCTGTCTGTCTTTAATACATTTTAAAAATGAATAAGACCATTTCTCCCCTCTATAGCTCATAAGACAAGAGATGGCATTTATAGCAAAGAGGGATCATTCCGCGTATGACTGCTGTGTGGTGATCATCCTTTCACATGGTACTGAGGTAAAACCAGTCACATATTTTTCTTTAAAAAAAGAGGATATATGTTATATTTGCTTTTCACATTTATGAAGACTATTAGTTTTCAACAAAGAAGTACAACCTGCAAAGAAGTTTTATTTGCTTCCTCATTTTGTAGAACACCATTAAGCTATCCAATTACAAAAGCATTAGAGCAATTTTCTCATTCTGCTTTGGTGCTCGACACTTCTCTAATGTTTAGGCAAACCACAATTGTTTTCCTGGAGCAGTTCATGGTGTTGATGGACCATCTGTCCCAGTTCAGTTAATCACAAACTACCTCAACGGCCAGAACTGTCCTTCTCTGCAGGGCAAGCCCAAGCTGTTCTTCATCCAGGCCTGTGGCGGAGGTGGGCATCTCAGATTTTTTTTTTTATTAATTTAATTTATACATTTAAGCAGACGCTTTTATCCAAAGCGACTTACAGTGCATTCAGGCTATACATTTTTTACCAGTATGTGTGTTCCCTGGGAATCGAACCCATGACCTTTTGCGCTGCTAACGCAATGCTCTACCACTGAGCCACAGGAGCACTGAAAGAAATCTTTCACAAATCTCGTAGCCAAAAGGTGGTGGTCAAATTTACCGTTGTTCAGTGAATTTTCATGTTCAAAATCCATGCCGTTCACACTGCTGAAAGCGACGTTTTGATGAATATACAAATATGTGAAAACAAATGTATAAAAAGCTGAATCACTGTCTGGCTTAAGCTAACGCCAACCTAACCCTAATCTCATGATTATTATAAGTATTACCGTCACGGTTTGTCAAGGGAGGACCCAAATGCAGAATGGACAGGGGAAACAGTTTATTAACAAAATTAGAGCACAAAAGGATGAGGCAGGAAGACAGTCCACACAATAAGGCAGGGCACACGACAGGAGAACGGGCTGGTCGGGGATGGGGGTAGCTCCAGACTCTGTGGCAAAAGGGGACTAGGTAGCAGCTCAAGGAACCACAGGCTTGGCCCTGGGGATGGTAACTCTTGAAGCACCAAAATGTCTGCCAGGTCAGAAGAATCAGCGACCAGGGAGGACTCAGGAAGCAGGGCAGGAACCAACTCGACAGACACACTCAAAGACAAGACAACAGGAGAGACAAGAGATATACACAGATCAAAAGTAGAAACTTGCAAAACTATGACTATAGGGAAATAAAACTGAAAGGAAAAACAAATAAAATAAGTACTAGAAAAAAATAAATAAATAAATAAATAAAAAAAAAACACTGGAACTTATGAAAACAAAAGGATAATAGGAAAAAGCGACTCGAACTACAAACAAAATATAAATAAAAACAAGACAGCTACCTTGCTGACAGAAAAAAAAAATAAAAAAGGTTCAGGAACTAAAATAAAAGAATTAAACCAGGGACTGTAACTAGACTATAGACTAAACACAGGAACAAAAAACTAGAAGGACAGACAGAGGGTGGGATAAAGGTGGGGGTACCGTTGGTGGCAGCCTCCTTGACCAGAACATGGACAGTCTCTGAGGGTACAGCATGACAGACAGGATTATTTTCTGTGGGCTTTACATGACTGACAAGATCTTCATGATTGGCCCCCGAGGATGTGACCAGACTGACAGGGACCGCTTCTGTAACTGGAGTGGAGTCTGGAGTGGGCTCTGGGGCTATAACTGGGATGCCCTTAGGGATCTCTGGTCCAGATTCAAAGATTGACTCTGAAAGGCCCTTGGGGGCTGCTGAAATGCCCTCCTTGGCCGCAGGAATAGACTCAGGAACTGACTCTTGACTGCCCTCGGGGGCTGCAGGAACAGACCCAGGACCTGATTCTTGAGTACCCTTGGGGGCTACTGGACTGCCCTCTGGGGCTGCAGGAACAGACTCATGAACGGATTCTTGGAAGACTGGAGCGGACTCTGAAACAGGCTCTGGAACAGACTTTGGACTGAACTGGGATGAGGCAGACTCTGGGCAGGACTGGGATGGGGCAGACTCTAAACCGGAGGCCAACACTAGCCTCTGGTCAGGAGCTCGAGCGGATACTGGAGGCTCCAGGGCTGAAGCATACTCCGTGTCAGTGGGGACTGACGGCTTGAGAATGGCCTCCATAGATATGACCGGGATAGTGGGCTGCTTAGGAGTGGTCTCCATGGTCGTGACGGGAGTAGACTGCTCAGACCTGACATGAGTGACTGTGACGGGGAGAGCGGTCTCCTCAAGACTGGAATCCATGGTCATAGCAGGAAGGCCAGGCTGTTCAGGATTGACCTCTGTGGTCGTAACATTGAGGATGAGCTGCTCAGAACTGGCCTCCATGGCCGGGACAGAAGCAGCAGGCAACTGGAGATCCTCCAGGATGTGCATGAGGGGTCTCTGAACGAAGGGTTCTAGCCCTCCTACCCTTACGCCTCCCGGGGCAGGAAGTTGTCGGATTGCCCACTTCTTGAGTGACTTGGACTGACATAAACACAGGATTATCAAGACTGGATATGACTGACTTGGACTTAACTGGGACAGATTTGACCGACACAGGACCAGAGGATGACTGGGAAACTTCTCTCGAAGCTGCCTTGAGCTTGACTGCTTCAGAGGACTTGGTTGACTCAGGCATGACTGCGGTGGGTTCAGCCGATTCTGAGGCAGGAGCCGGCCTTGAACTGCTCTCAGAGGCTGGAGCCGGCACTGAGGACTCAATGGCAGATGCAACACCGGCCACCCTCTTTCTTCTGTCTCTTTGTTTCTCAGTGGGAGTCAGAAGATGATCGTGGACTTAACTCGAAGAGGGAAGGAGGGTAGGGTGGTGGTCACTGCTGACATCCTCAGGAGGGTTAAGGATCTGCCAGTCTTTGCGGTGATGCACATAATTAGAGAACTCCCAGAAATTCAAAACATGCAGTTGCTCCATCTCCCATCGCGGTAAGGGGTCATCCAGAGTGAGGTTGAAGGCCTCCTTCAGGGCTGCATCATCATATTCGAGGCCCCTAGCCATGGTCCAAAAGAATTGGGCGAAGGACCGTGGTTCCTGGTCCTGCTGACGAAGCGATGCCAGTGTCTGTTGGAGTGCCAATCTCCCTTTGCCATGTGCTCAGGCACAAAATAAACAAAGACATATTAAACAAAGACAGGACAGACAAGACTGTCAGGGCAGGATCCTGACAATTACAGCTCATCATGAAGAGTTTTCCCACTCAGATTTCACAACTGGTTCAAGTTGAATTTGCAGTGTTGACCACACCTAAAAATAATCAAAAATGTTTGAGGTTGTGCCTCAGTTTTTCAGATTATGCTTTTTTTTTTTTTTTTACTTTTTTCTTCTCACCTGTAGGTGAGAAGGACACAGGTTTTGAGGTTTCTCCAGATGAGGTGGAGCCCTTTTTGGGTGGGATAGATGACCAGATGGACGCTATTCCCATATCCTCCAGCAGTGACTCTCTCAGCACGTCTGATGAACTTGATGCTCGGGCCACTTTGCCCACACCCAGCGACATCCTGGTGTCCTACTCAACCTTTCCAGGTCTGTGTTTTTGGTCGTTACGGGAATTGCCTGTTGTACCTTAAATAATTGTTTGGTTGAAAAATATTTCAGAAAGACAAACCTTTTGATTGCTAAACACAAATAGACAATTCATGCTAATGCATTTGCAGGCTATGTCTCCTGGAGGGACACGCAGGCCGGATCCTGGTATGTGGAGAATCTTGATCGTGTGCTTGAGGAGAATGCTGCCACAGGTGATCTGGGGACCATGCTGATGATGGTACATCTTTGTCTCATAAAGCTTCTTAAAACAACTGATAGATACAATAAATATGTCCTTAAAAATGGAAAAAATAAACCAAATCGAACCAAATTCCATAATAATGCTACCAATTAGGGTAGAGCAGTATGATGGTACATACTGTAGCATATCAAGCAGTAGATATTCTGCTATCTTATACATTCTGCTAGCTTAATAATAAAAAAAAAAAAGATCTGACACCAAGCAAAAACTATAGTCTGCTCCTCAAAATGCATCACATACAAACTCTTCCAGTTGAAGTACTATATTTTCACTGGTACCAGACATAAAATTAATTCATATTTTAGGTTGCGCTTACACTGAAACAAAAAATCTGATTTTTTTTACTCACTTGTGACACAGATTGGCTATTGTACATGTCTAAGCATAAAAATCCACAGGAGATCAGATTTTTTGTTGTTGTTTTTTTTTGCATCCATTCTGAGCTGCTTCTAAATATGGTTTGGTTCGAAATCAGATACATATCTGATATCTGGACATCTGACCTACATCTAAACACAAAAATATGATTCCTATTGGAATTCCAAGCCATCACAAGGCGAGGGAGACATATTTGCCCACTATAACTTTTCTTAATGTTGCGATGTAAACTTTATATAT